GCTGTGATTGGCTGTGTCCAAATGCACCGTGTCCAAGTGCACCGCTCCCGATCAGATCGCTGCTTTCGTCTCAGGTGTACGCTGAGGTATTTCTATTGTTGGTTGAAGAAACCTTCGCTAGATATCATAATTCGGGGGACATGCTGTAAAAGGTATTGTAATTATTCTATAAAAAGAATGTATCTGTTTTTGTGCGTTTTTTCGACAATATAATGATAAAAATGTTTGCCGGGCATTAGCAAGTTGATGCGATCGAAAAAAAACCAGGAGTATTGAAATACTAGATAGTACACCGATCGTGCCTGACGGTACTTCCACAGCAGTGCTTGAGATCGATATTTCGGCCAAATACATGATTTTTTAATATTTAATTAAAATTATCTGAATGACTCGCAAATCTTTTTAATGATACTTCATAACTCTTCATACGAAATACAAACGGTACCATACCGAACCTTTGTTTAATTTACCTCCGGTTATTATTTCCGGCTAAATACATGGTCCAAAAAAGAACAATTAATTACAAGTAATAGAATGACTCACAAATCTTTTCAATTGCACTTCAAAACTCTTCATACGAAATACAAACGATATAAAAGAGTTTTTTTCCGGTCAAGTACATACGAATCTTAAGACGGTCTTAATTAATGTCTAAATAAAATTCGATTATGAATACCGGCCTATATATACTAAGTTTATGTATATATATCATTGGACGTGACAGCATCAATGCACTGAGTGTACACTATGTTCAGACAGTTCGCTAAAAAGAACAGACTTTTGATCAAATTGCCAGTCATTCCTCAGTGAGATTGGAGCAATGGCGTAGGGTCACTAAAGCTAGGTGCACTCAGCCATTTATTGAAGTCTTGAAGTCTTCCTCGGTTAGAGTGTTTCAGTCAGTTTCAGTACAGAGTGAGTGGCGTATCGGGTTGAGATTGTTGAGATCTTGCGAAGCCAATAAATAGAAGGAAAAAGAGTGTTTTAGTCAGTTTTGATTTCTTGTAACAAACGATTGATGTGTGATAAATTGAATGTGATTACATAATTTATCAGAAGAATGGGAACAGTACGAGTAATTAATGACGATCGCCATTTTCATGGTGAATTAGCCAGTGCCGGGCATAAGCTTGTAGTTGTGGACTTTACAGCAAGTTGGTAAGCAAGTTTTAGGTTATATTTGTCATTACATATTTACTCTCAATGCAACGTAAATTTTAGAATTGTTTTATTACTTTATATATGAGCCTGAAATTTTTAAAATTTATATATTGGACTATGCTAGTAATCTGTACTACGATTAATAACAGATAAATAATACTTAAAAATATATGTATATGAGTGTGTGTGTGTGTGTGTAAAAACTCAGAAAAAGCTGGTAGTGTTCAATGTTCGTATGTCGTTTATGACGTGAACAGACGATTTTTGCCGATTGTTTGGTACCAGGTTGTTTTTGGATAATTTACACTAAAAATTATATATATATATATATATATATACTAAATATTTATACAGCATAAATGTCATAAATGGCGTTACGACCTTACTGTGCCGCTTGATAATTTGTAGTTAGAATAGGCTTATTTTAGTTAGATTTTTCGCATCAGTTTGAATTGAAATATAAAATGTTATAAATTTATACTTATTTTTTACGTACAAACGTACGAGAGAGAGAGAGAGAGAGAGAGAGAGAG